TCATGGCGGCGAAACCAAAAATCGACATCTATTATGCTGGTTCTAGCTCACATGGGGCTTCGGGCTCCAAGCGCAAGCGCGTCGAAAGGTTCATGAAGTGGAAAGGCAAGGGAGCAAGTTCTTCAGGTAAGAAACCAAAATTTAATCAACATGACAAAGGAAAACGTTCTTTTGGTAAGAAGATGTCGAGGGTGAAATGCTACAACTGTAGCAAGAAAGGCCACTTCGCTCGCGATTGTGGCGAGCCAAAGAAGGAAAACTCCCTTTACATTTTTGAGAACTTTGTCTATTTGTCAAGTTCTGTATTTTTAACTGAGTTTAATCCTTTGTCGACTGTAGATTCGGGAGCAACAGACTATGTAGCGAAGGATAGAGATGCTTTCGTGGAGTTCCGACGGGTTTCGACCGGAACAAAATGGATCTATGTAAGGAACAACTCCAAAGCTGAAGTTAAAGGGATTGGCACCTGCCAGTTGATGATGCGTGGTGGACGCACATTGTTCCTACATGACGTATTACATGCTCCGGAGATTCGTCGGAATTTAGTGTCTGTATTAGTGTTGGTTAAACTTGGTTTTAATTTGACCTTCCATAATAGTGGTGTTGATTTGTATTTGAATACAAATTACTATGGTTGTGGATACTTTTTGGATGGTTTTATTGTATTAAATGTTAATTGCGGTGATGTTAACGTTTGTTAATCCCTATTTGCATCTTCTAATTCCTACGAAAATGATGTGAATGTGTGGCATGCTAGACTTGGTCATATTGGCCAACAACAATTGCAAAGATTAGCCAAAGAGGGCTTATTGGGCAATATTGAAAACATTGATTTGCCTATTTGCGAGCATTGCCTGGCCGGGAAAACAACATAGAAACCATTCGGAAAGGGTACAAGACCTGAGTTTCCTTTGCAACTAATATATTCTAACATCTGTGGTCCAATGAATGTAAGAGCAAGGCATGGGGCTTTGTATTTCATCACATTCATAGATGATTATACTCGATTTGGATATGTCTATTTGATTTCCCATAAATCTGAGGCATTAAGTTGCTTCAAGAAATTTATGAACTTAGTATAAAATCAATTAGATAAGAAAATAAAAACGTTTAGATCCGATTGAGGTCGAGAATATTTATCTAATGAGTTCATAAATTTATGTGATGAAAAAGGAATAGAAAGACAGTTGTCTGTTCCATATACTCCTCAACAAAATGGTGTTGCCGAGAGGAGAAATAGAACCCTATTGAAAATGGTTAGGTCTATGATGGCACAAGCTAACTTACCTATCACTTTTTGGGGTGATGCTTTGTTAACTGTTGCCTATGTACTTAACCATGTGCCTTCTAAATCAGTTACTTCCACTCCGTATGAGTTATGGACAGGTAGAAAACCCGATTTAAGTTTTCTTAAACCTTGGGATTGTGCTGCTTATACTCACGAGCCCTCTCATAAATATGGGAAACTAGGTCCCAGAGGCAAGAAAAGTATTTTCATAAGATACTCAGAGCACTCAAAAGGGTATATGTTTATAGGTGAGCAAGAAAGTGGGAGTATAACTGAATTTGAATCACGAGATGTCACATTCTTAGAGAATGAGTTTCCTAAGAAGGGCGAAATAGGTGAGGACTACTCACTATTTGAAACCTTGGATCTTGATAATGAAATTGATGAAGTTCGTCCAAATGGAAGCAATGTGAGAAGTGAGGAATTAAATTCGACTCAATCTCAATTGCAACCATTTGATGAGACAATACCATCATTATCTAATCCAAGTGGGAGCATAATGGAGAATGATGTACCACGTGTACAATCTCTCGTACGGTGAACAAGTCACAAAAGTGTTCCCCAACGACGTTTTTACATTGAAGGGAAAACTTTCATGATCGCTCCACAAGATGAAGATGAGCCAAGGAATATAAATGAGGCTCTAAGTTGCCCTAATAAGGAAAAATGGATAGATACAACGGAAGAAGAAATTGAGTCAATGAAGTCAAACCATGTTTGGGAACTGGTTGATCTTCCAAAAGGACACAAAGCTATTGGGAACAAATGGGTTCTTAAAATAAAGCGAAAAGCTGATGGCTCAATAGAAAGATATAAGGCTCGCCTCGTGGCGAAAGGGTATAATCAACAGGAAGAAATTGATTATGAGGAAACTTTTTCTCCTGTAGTGAGATTTACCTCAATTCACCTTATTCTGGCAATAATGGCAAGTATGGATCTTGAATTACATCAAATGGATGTAAAGACTGCTTTTCTAAATGGAGAATTAGAAGAAGAAATTACATGGAGCAACCCGTTGGCTTCATTGTAAAAGGCCTAGAACAAAAAGTATGTCGACTTTTGAGATCGATATATGGTCTTAAGCAGTTTTCAAGACAATGGTATATACGTTTTCATAATGCCATAGCGGCCTATGATTTACAATGATTGATGAAGATCATTGCGTATATATCAAAGGATCCAAAGATCAATTTGTGATCTTATCATTATATGTTGATGACATACTGATTGCCGAAAGCAATATGGAGTTGGTTAATACTGTTAAAAGTTGGTTATCGTCCAATTTTGAGATGAAATATATGGGTGAAGCTGCATATATTCTTGAAGTTTAGATTTCAAAAAATCGTTTCAAGAGATTGTTGTCTCTTTCGCAAGAGACTTATATCAACAAAGTTCTTGAACGATTTTGTATGCATGACTGTAAACTCATGGATACTCCTATTGCAAAAGGTGAAGGATTGAGCCGTAGGTTGTGTCCTAAGACTCCACAAGAGAAGGAATAAATGAAACGTGTTCCTTATGCTAGTGCTGTTGGGAGTTTAATATACGTTATGATGTCTACAAGACCTGACATATGTTTTGCAGTTGGAATGGTAAGTAGATACCGATCCAATCCAGGTCAAGCACATTGGAAAGCCGTCAAAAGAATCATGAGGTATCTAAAGGGTACTGCTTATTATTCTCTGAGTTATCAAGGAAAGGATCTGCGACTTGAAGGCTACTCAAATGCTGACTGGGGAGGAGATTTAGACGAAAGGAAATCTACCTCTGGATTTGCATTCTTACTGAATAATGGCGTCATATCTTGGAGCAGTAAGAAACAAACATGTATAACATTATCCACCATGGAAGCCGAGTTCGTGGCATTGTCTTTAGTAGTACAAGAGGGAGTTTGGCTTAAGAGATTTTTGGATCATTTAGGTGTTGTTGAGCATGCTGCAAGCTCATTATTAGTCAATTGTGATAGCCAAACAGCGATAGCATACACCAAGGATCCGAAATATCATGGCAAGACCAAACATATAGATACCAAGTACAATTTTGTTAAAGATATGGTAACACGAAAAGATGTGAACTTGCAATGCATATCTACGCATAGAATAATAACATATCCTATGACGAAGCCAATTCCTAGAGATGTTTTCATTGGTCATGTAAAATCTCTAGGACTGCGTAGATGCTGATGTACTGAATATTGTAATTTCCCTGAATGTTCACATTTAAATGAAATTGTTATATCATTGTTAATGCCTATGATTTTTTTTTATATTTATGCATCTTAATACTTAGTGTATTATGTCAAGAAAGTATGTCGAACAAATAAGATTAACCCACTCACACGAGTAATCGCCTCTATTTACTGTGTGATAAATAGAGATGAGATAATTTTTAAGCTTATTATCTAGGTGATAATCGAGAGCTCAAGCTTAAAATATAAATGTCGCCTTAGCTAAGTGCTAAGATGAGGACATAACATTTACTATGTCCGAAAGTAAAATAGTCCACATATTTTACTTTATCTGTCTTTGATGCCAGATGTGAGTTCTAATGGATTTTTTAGAAGAGTAGATACGTGAACTCAAGTTTAGACATTGAGTATGTCTGAACTATCATATGTACGGTATTGAATGTAAAGACATACACTCCACGGGAAAGGAGTTAATACCGTAATACGTATTTTATACTACGTATGCATGAGACGACCGATAAGAGTGGCAAAAGTTTTTGATCTCAACTTTATGCCGTGTGAGACTCTTGAGGATGTGAGTTCCTCATTTAGTGCCCTCACGACTCTGACTTATTCTTAAAGTTTCTATTTAGTGTTCGTTATCTTAGGGTGTTGCCAATGGTCATGAATGATTCGATCTAATTGGGCATTTCTAGAAAAGTGAGCTGGACTGAAATAGAGAGGTTTAAGGAAAGAGGAAGATCAATTTATTTATGATGTCACATCCTATTTTTGTATTCACAGGTCAACCAATTATGATTTTGAGTAAATCATAGTTGTGAATACAATATACGAGATACTAAAAGAGATCAAAAGAGATATAAATGTGACTGATTGATCTAGGGTCCTGCATACTATATCTACTCGAAAACGTTATGCCCAATTTGAGCTGCTATGTATTCATAACAGATGCATGGCAACGAGCTCTCGAAGTATGCTGGTCGCACGGATTATTTGCTAGTACGAACATTGCAAAGAAGAGAGTTAATGTTTAGCCCACCATGTGCGAGTGGGAGATTATGGGTTTTGTGAATAAATGGACCGCCCATGATGGGCTAACCCAGCCCATGAAAGAAGATAACCGCAAATGGCAATTATTTTATGGGAACAAAAGTGAGAAGAAGAAAAACTCACGTGAGTTTTAGTAAGTGCTTGCGGTTCACTATCAGAAACTCTCACACTCTCACTCACTTGAAAACAAAGAGAAAAAGCAACTTTGTTCGACAATCGAAGAATTACTCTCTCTCTCTCTCTCGAGGCTGCAATAGATGCATTTAATCTGTGGCAAAAAGGTATGTTCCTTTACATAATATGCTTCGTTCGATCGGTGATTCAAGTATAGAATGGGCACATTTTTCGCGTTTTTGCATTATGTTTAGGAATCTGTTTCCGTCAAATTGGATCATTGCGGTTTGCCTCTTTTTAGAAGTACAAACAATCATGCAATTTCCCTCTACATGTTTTGTGCGTGTAAGCCTCGGGTGTTCATGTTTGCAAGCTTCGATTCGGTGCTCTTCGATGTCATTTCATAGGAAAAAGCTATTTGAAGTCCTGATTTCAAGCAAGATTAGAGGTCTTTTAGGAATTGAGGAATTGATTGATGACTCCAACATGCAACTACTTAAAGGAATCTAGTTCTTGCAAACCTCAAGACTAGACACATAGATTACATGCATACGCAACGAAAATAGCTAAAGTAATCAACACTCGCGAATTATTTTTGACCTTTCTACCCTTGGAGGTTGTGGATGTGTCTACCTGGGGGATCGATTCGGTTTACAATTCCGAGGTGCTTTCCCCACACAACCAAGGGGACCACCATCACGGCGACCTGCAACGACAGATTAAAATACCCTAGCAGAAGTCCTGGGACCTCCTCAGATTTTGGGAATTGGGATACAAGATTAAAAGTGAAGGCAACGCCGAGAATGACCATAGAGATGTAAACCATGCTAGTGCGAGGCCACAATGGAAGAGCGGTGGCCAAGATTGTGCCGATAGAGGCGAAAAAAGCCATGCTGTTGACAACCGAGAAGAAATATAGATTTGGGCTTTTCATGATAATGTCTCCGGCTTGATGTGGTTTTTCAATAGCAATGCCACTGGAATTGGTGGTAGCGACAGTGGAATTGGCCAAGGGATTTGAAGAGGGAGAGGAATCCTGCCAGTATCCTCCTGGAGGACTGAGAGCGGCTTGGTAAGTGGCAGTAGCAATTAAGGTAGCCACTATGAGGATTATGTCGCGAGCCGTTGCATCTCCGGAGCCAAAGAAAAATTCGTACTTCTCTTTGCTAGTTAGTTCCCTGCTAAAATACTCTGATAGACAGAGGTTAGGAGTAGAACGTCCTCGCAACCTCCTCGCAACATCTTGATTGTCGGAAGGATGACTATCTTTGAAGATTTCCAGAGCCGTCTCCCCCTGAAAGTTCTTCGCATTTACATCCGTGTGTCCAATCAACAGCTTGATGATCTGGAAGAAATGTGAAGGGAACAAAATGAAGTATGGATACCTTCAATTCGAATCACTGTTTTGTCACAAGCTTTACTATTATGCACAAAGTGAGCTCATGCCATAAGTTTGAATAATGCTAGTGATGCAACAACTTATGTACAAAGGAAAAAAGTTTACTAGACTAATATATAAAATGCAATCATTTGAACCACCGTAACAAAGACCTCAATCTTTTCAAAAAGTGTAATTTAGTCCTTCCACCTGAAATTAGTCACATGATAGCTAGGAATTGCCTATGTGAGTTGAATCCACATAAACGATGACTCGAATGACTATTATTTTTCATTAAAGTTTAGGACTTAATCACATTAACTAAAAGATTTTGGATTTAATTACAATTTATATATAAGTTTTTTTTTTCTACGAAAAGAAAGACTACCTCAGACATGTATATTTATAACCTTTATGCATAAGATTCAACTAATCAGGGAGTAATTTTCTCGTCCACATAGTGATTATCTTATGGTTGTGCGGAATTCTTTGTTGGTTTCCATTTCAATAGCTTCTATAACATACAATATGTTCAGATGGACTGATTTCAAAAGAAAGAAAGAGATTTTGCTAATCAATGGTAAAAATAAAGAATATAAAATAATGAATTAAGTTATTAGGTAAAACTTGGAGATTTAGAGCTCACTGAAAATTGAGGTTTACAGGGGGTTCGATGGGAAACAATTCCAATCATACCTTTTTTTTCTTCGCTAAATAAACTGTAGACAAGGTTATCTCTATATCACTCCTTTATCCTCCAACCAAAATAATTGTTAGGCCTATTAAAATGAACTCAAATTAGAAGCATCGCCACCTTAAAATAGCTTTTCCACTAGCAGTTTTCGAAATGAAAATATGGGCTTGTTTTGATAATATTGAAAACTAAGCGCTAGTGTTGATAATCTTCACTCTGAAAATAAAAATAAAAAATTCTTAGATGACAATTAAAAAACAATCACGGAATACAATCAATTTCTTACCAAACATGGAACTGCGATTACAATTTATAGTTTTCAACAATATAATTGGGAGGATTCTAATTACTCTCCATTATATTGATTACTAGATTAAGTGAATGTTTTGACTTAATTGAGTTTTTCAAGTCAAATACCAATAGAGTTTATCATACAAGCTTAATCTAATTCAGTGCTAAATTTTCAATTTCCAACACTTAATTGAATATTTCAAACAGGCCCACGTGTATCTATTAAATGAAAAAAAAAACAATTAAAAACAATCTGCATACTCATATTAGCACCACCTTACTATGAGTATTTACTTCTTCTTTTTTAAATTAAAAAAACACTACTTGTTGACCTAATTTTCACAACTTTTCAGAATGGCATAAAAGTCTGTTATATTTGGATGGAGTGATTTGGAGGGAAATGAAATGATTAGAGTAATCACTAAGAAAACAAACGAAGACAAAAGAAATGATCAACCTTTAAAAACTGTATTGAATATATCAAGCCTACCCTCCAATGATCTCGTGCGCAGGAAAGTTGTCCAAAAGAAGATTGGAAGTAGAAGATTGGGAGAGAAGGAGTTTTATGCAATCCCTCCTAATTCCTTTTCTTCTCTCCTTCAAAAGAGACCTAACAAGGTGATCCCATTTAAATCTCCTCTCTCTGAGTGTTTTTAAAAACCATGTATTTTCAACCCTTGTGTTTCCCTATCATAACATTGTTTCCTGGATTAGATTATGTCGAATTCAACGTCTCGACAATAAAAGCACAAATAACCACGAAATCAATTAACTATATCAGCATGTACTATACCTCAAGCTGCTCTTCGACTACAGCAATATGTAAGACAGTGTTACCATCTTCGTCTTTCCATTGCAAGATTTGTGTTAGATCGACTCGCTTAAGCCATCCAAGCAAAACCTTGAACGCTTTGAGGTTGTGGTTTTTTATGGCAACGTGAACCGCAGTTTCGCATCGATTTGTCAAGTCTTCAATTGACGGTTTGCAAGCATATAGGAATTCAGCTAGGAGTTCGAGGAGCTCATTGTCTCCTATTTTCCCGGCTACAAAATGCAAAGGGGTGATCCCGCCTCGGCCTCGGACTCGGATCAACGCGGGATTGAGGGTCATCAGTGCCCTCGCAGTGTGATAATGCTTATTTTTCAAAGCCAAGTGCATGGGGCTGTCACCCCCTCGATTCAGCTTTTGAGCGAACGACGGCTTCAAGATGGCTATCTCCATGGCCACTTTAGTTTTCCCCTTGTCCGCGGCCGCGTGTAGTGGAGTATTTGGGAATGGGCCCGCGGATCCATGATCTAAGAGGTTTTCGTCCTCCTCAATTAAGCTGTATAGCTTACCAACATCATCAGCTTCTATTGCTCCTTGAAGGTTCATTGTTGGAGGAGGGAAATGTAGGAGCAGAGGGGGTTTTGCTCGTTGATGATGGATGGAAGTAGGAGTAGCGAACTCGCAGGATCATAAATAGTGCCCTAGTCAACGTAGGAACAATTTAATTGGTTGGGTGATCCGTCTCTGTCGGAGAAATTACATGCGAAGTTTCGCAATGCATGAGTCAAGTCAGCAAGATAATTTAAATTAATCGAACAAGTCTAATTAACCCAGTAATTTGCAGTATGATTTTTTTGCCTTTTATATCGTTGGGTATCATTTCTCCGCAACTACATGAAATTGTGGGGAGTAGCAGCTGAGGCTGTCTTGATAAATCACAACTACATCCACCCGGTTCACAACTATGTGAAGCTATGTGAAGCATAAGAATTTCAATGCTCTAATTCCCCTGACAGCGAACTTGATAATATGATTAGAGCTTAATAAAACTTTAACTCTTAAATTGACTAAATGCCCAAACTTAAGCCCTCTTTCTACACTTATCCCCATTATGGTCAAGAAGATTAAATCAATATCTATTAACTGGTGAGTCATTCGTGGGTTCTTCATCACTTGTTCCTCTTTAATGCAATTGACAATTGAGTTTTCCATAGTCATAAATTAGACAGATGCTATTAGGAGTGATCAATCGCGCCGGTTCACTTCAGGAACCAGCCCGAACCAGTCCGAACCAGCCTTATCGGTTGCAAGTCGGCTCACATGGGAATCGGATTGATTTCCGGATAAAAAGATTGGGAACTGGTCTTGATTCACTTGGTTTCTGATTCTATCACTCACTCTTCGTCTTCAGCGGCTCGAGATCGACTTCGTTCGCAATTCGCCACTCTCCTCTCCTCTCCTCTCCGAGGTAAATTTCCTCCGCCATCTACAGGATAATCTCCTGACTCCGTCTGAGGAGCACTAGTGTGGAGGGGTAAGATCAACATTTTATTCAGTCGGTGGTGATGTAATATGCCGAAAGGTGTTTTGGATTATAGCGTTAAAGCTGAACAACTTTTGACACTTTGAACACTGACTTTTCGAGAGCATTAACTTCTGAGTGAAAATAGGGTTTTTTGGAATTCGGTGTCTTTTCACAGTGACTAGCCAATGCCGTGAGTTGTTAAGAGGGGAGCCTGCGTGGTAGAGTTGGCAGAGGTTCTTGTCTAATTTGGAGTGGAATTTTCCTTTCCTCTTGTGAAATTCATATCTATGATCTATCTATAGTGAAAACAATGCAGCCAATAAATTTGGTAGCGTTTTGACAATAGCTGTGAGTTGGATGTGTTGTTCTTTGGCTGCGTCTTCTTTTGGCCAAAACAAACTTCACAGAAGTTTCTCTTTACATTCAGCATTAAGTAAAATCTATAAAGCAGAAGGAAGTTTTTGTTTCTTTTGCTCTGGGTATCTGAACAGTTTGGAATTTTGAATGCTTTCACCTATAGTTTAGATGTTGTGATACGATGATATTCGAGGAACTTGTTCTTGTACTTATATCAATGCATCTGATTACTTATTAGAACCCTCCAGCCTTTGGGTTTGGATCTACTTTTTAAAAATCATTGCATGATCCGATACTTGAAGCAAATGGAATTATACATTTTTCTGGATATCATGACATCTTGGGATTCATGGGATAAATCGATTGCCGTGGAGAACAATCATCTACAGCATTCTAAACCTTAATGGCTTGCTAGAGGGAATAGTTGGATCTCTTTGCGAAGGATAAAACATAGCTATGTCTGGATACTGTCTCCTAACTAAGTATGAAATAAATAAATAAAAAAAAGTAGGCCGGTTCTCAGGTTTACCTTGAAATCGGTAGGTTCGATTCTAGGCCAGTTCAAGTCCACGGTTCGGTTTCCAGCTCCAAAAATAGAAAATCGGCTCTGACATGATAGGTTTCGGATTTCTGATCGGAAACTTACCCACCTTGGAACCAATTCTCTTGGATGCTATAATAATTTACTTTCTTTTAGGCTCCGTTCGTTTGGCGGAAAACATTCTCCTTTTGGAAAATATTTTCCAGGAAGTCATTTTCCCGGAAAATGTTTTCCCGGAACATAATTTTCTGATGTTCGGCAACCAATATGAAAAAGTTTCGGAAAATATTTTTCACCGGCGACCGGGGCGGCCTGCGGCGGCGGCGGCCGGCGACCGGTGGCCAACGGTGGTGACCGGCGATCAACTTCCTCTCCCACGGAAAATATTTTCCCTCCCATGGGCAATTTTGCGGCCGGCGGCGGCGGCGGCCAACGGTGGTGACCGGCGATCAACTTCCTCTCCCACGGAAAATATTTTCCCTCCCATGGACAATTTTACCTTCAATTTGGGGGAAAATGATTTCCTCTTTGTGAAAAGAGGAAATCATTTTCCTCAAAACAATGAAGGATTTGAGGGTGGGGAAGGAAAATGTTTTCCCACGGAAAACATTTTCCGCTCCCGAACACCAAAAAACGCGAAAAATATCTTCCGGAAAAATATTTTTTCGCAAACGAATACAGCCTTAATCTAAACGCTTTCAACCCAAAAGATTCAAAAACTCTCATGAACTACATATCGTTTTAGAAAAAAGAAAACAAAATTGTAACGCGAAATTAGATAACATAGTTACGAGCTAATTTTGGGGATGGCTTATACATATAGTTTAATCTAAATACCTCAATATCCTGGAACTGTTAAAACTCGATCTTTAGTAATAAAGGTGCTTCGCTGTCTCTCTCTCTCTCAGTTACTCACTCTTCCTCTTCAGCAGCTCGATCTCGACTTCGTTCGCGATTCGCCACTCTCCTATCATCTCCGAGGTAAATTTCCTCCGCCATCTACAGGATAATCCCCTGACTCCGGATGAGGAGCACTAGTGTGGTGGGGTAAGATCAAGATTTTATTCAGTCGGTGGTGATGTAATATACCGAAAGGTGTTTTGGATTATAGCGTTAAAGCTGAACAACTTTTGACACTTTGATCACTGACTTTTCGAGAGCATTAACTTCTGAGGAGTGAAAATAGGGCTTTTTGGAATTCGGTGTCTTTTCACAGTGACTTAGCCAATACCGTGAGTTGTTAGGAGGGGAGACTGCCCGTTCGGTGAGAAAATATTAGGTGCCTCTGCTGATTTCACGTTGGAGAAATCACAATTTTAAGGTGGACACGTGTCCGAGGAGCCCATCGTGTCAGGCTCCACGGAGTTTAATTTTGGCCTCCCCCTCTCTCTTCATAAATTGCCGTCACCTACTCTGTCCTTCTCCCTGCTCGCGTTTCTCCTCTCTCTTCTTTATTCTTCTTCACAGGCTCGCTCTTGGAAGGGAGAGAAATTTGAAAAAGAGAGAAAGAAAATGTTTGAGGCCTTCGTGCAGCCTGACACGGTGGAGAAAACTTCCTGGATAAAGAAGAGTAGGCACTTTAGTGCAGCCTGACACGGTGTCCTCTTCACTGTGAAGATGAATAAAGAAGAGAGAGAGGGAAACGCGAGCGGGAGAAGGACAGAGTAGGTGACGGCAATTTATGAAGAGAGAGAGGGGAGGCCAAACTTAAACTCCGTGGAGCTTGACACGGTGAGCTCCTCAGACACGTGTCGCCATCTCAGAGTTGTGATTTCTCCACCGTGGAATCACCAGAGGCATCTAATATTTTCTCGCGTGGTAGAATTGGCAGAGGTTCTTGTCTAATTTGGAGTGGAATTTTCCTTTCCTCGTGTGAAATTCATATCCATGATCTGTCTATAGTGAAAACAGTGTAGCCTATAAGAAATTTGGTAGGGTTTTGACAATAGCTGTGAGTTGGATGTGTTGTTCTTTGGCTGCGTCTTCTTTTGGCCAAAACAAACTTCACAGAAGTTTCTCTTTACGTTCAGCATTAAGTAAAATCTATAAAGCAGAAGGAAGTTTTTGTTTCTTTTGCTCTGGGTATCTGAACAGTTTGGAATTTTGAATGCTTTCACCTATAGTTTAGATGTTGTGATATGATATTCGAGGAACTTGTTCTTGTACTTATATCAATGCATCTGATTACTTATTAGAAATTTAGAACCCTCCAGCCTTCGGGTTTGGATCTACCTTTTAAAAATCATTGCATGATCCGATACTTGAGGCGAATGGAATTATACATTTTTCTGGATATCATGACATCTTGGGATTCGTGGGATCAATCGATTGCCGTGGAGAACAATCATCTACAGCATTCTAAACCTTAATGGCTTGCTAGAGGGAATAGTTGGATCTCTTTGCGAAGGATAAAACATAGCTGTGTCTGGATACTGTCTCCTAACTAAGTATGAAATAAATAAATAAAAAAAAGTAGGCCGGTTCTCGGGTTTACCTTGAAATCGGTAGGTTCGATTCCAGGCCAGTTCAAGTCCATGGTTCGGTTTCCAGCTCCAAAAATAGAAAATCGGCTTTGACATGATAGGTTTCGGATTTCTGATCGGAAACTTACCCATCTTGGAATCAATTCTCTTGGATGCTATAATAATTTACTTTCTTTTAATCTGAACGCTTTCAACCAAAAGATTCAGAAACTCTCATGAACTACATATCGTTTTAGAAAAAAGAAAACAAAATTGTAACGCGAAATTAGATAACATAGCTACTAGCTAATTTTGGGGATGGCTTATACATATAGTTTAATCTAAATACCGCAATATCTTGGGACTGTTAAAACTCGACCTTTAGTAATAAAGGACCCATGATAGGAAAATGATAGTGAAAGGATGGATTTTTATGATCAGCTGAAGAGATAGAGAGAGCGCTAAAGAATCGAAATGAACTGCACAAAAACCTCAGCGAACTCTTCCATTGGAATGGCGGTTCAGGTACAGTGAAGGAAGTGCTTGTGGGACCAACTTCACTGGCTCAAGTTGACGAGGCTAAAACAATGCATATTATCTAAGCAGTTAGATAATCGCGTGGTTTAATATTTAATTATTTTAACACTTTTCCTCATGCTTAGTTTGATCTTTTTGCCTAGTACTAAGCGTGAATATATTTAATCGGGGAGGTAAATAGGGATTCGGAAAGATTTGAACTCGGGATCTCCTGGCTCTGATACCATGTGAGATTTTGTAGAACTACTAC